GGCTCCACGAATAAAACGTACAAAAATCGGGCCGTCGTTTAAGATGTATTTGTAACAAGTTATTTTTAAGTAATAAGTTATTCCATGAATAAAACGCGAATGTTATTATTTTTAAGTAATAATTTATTCTTCTCGATGTCATTATTTTCATAATATACAATTGAATTCTCCTTGTCGTATTTACGGGTTGCCCTATCCGTTATGACTCGCAATTCGAACAAGTTATAGTTACCTAAGTGGACTATAAAGTAATCCCTGCAACACAAATGTGTCATTCTACATCAATGTACAGATAATGCACCGTTTGCCATATACAACGAAATATTTGAAACAATTCATAAAATTACAAAAATTTTAAATTTACTTACAGACAAAATTTAATGCGTCATTAACCAGGATCAACATTAAAAAACAATCTTCTACACAGATTCGTGAAGAATGAAATTAAGTGAAACGTTCACAAAATCAGAAAATCTAAGTCACATTACATAGACGTTCACAAAATAATTTGGTAGTCACCTGAACAAATGAAATGAAACGTTCACAAAACCAGAAAATCCAAGGGACGACTCGCGAAAGTCGTGGCACTGTCGTTCGTCAAAGTGCTCCAACACCTTTGCACATACTTGAGGTTACTTCGCTGGGATATACATACACGCAACCTTGCGTCTTCCGGAACCAAGAATTCGAACTCCATGGATTCTGCAATGAATAAGAAGGCGAAAAGGGTCAGCTAATCACACGTCATCAATGTCGAAGCCAATACACATGGATGCAAACAAATAGTAATCAACATATGTACGTCAATCATATAATGACGCGAAACTACTGACCCAATGCAACATGAACAATCTGTAAAAGGACATGTGACGAAGATGTAATGAGAAATGGAACATATGTGCTTCATATTATTTCATAAGGCAGTCAACTGCCGAGAATTACTGCATCTAACAGTCGGGATCGACAGTTAACCTGTACCAAATTTACTCAACTGCCGAGAATGTTTGAGGCTAACTGTCGGGAAGGCAGTTCGCCTATCCGTATTTTACCCAACTATCGACTGCAGCTAACTGTCGAGAACGACAGAACACATGTTCACAAGTCACCCATATGCAGATAATTTGCTGAGGTAAACCATTGCCCACAAAGTGGTGACACATACCATTGCACACAAAGTGGTGAAAGTTCTAGCAGGCCAAGAACCCGTTGCAATCAGATTTTCAGTTACTAAGTCCTCCATACTCAGTTTCAATTTCATCTTTTACCCTTTTCCAGTAAACTTCAAGCCAGTTATGTAATATTGAGAAAGATCTTAGACAAATATGTACGAGAACGCAGCAGAATGAGGCTGAAAGATGGAAAATGTAGCTTGAAGTCAGATTACCAGTGTACTTTTGCAAACGATCTGCATCATATGCAGACTTGTCAATTTGAAGAGCTTCCTTCAATCCTGAAGCCAAATTATCATAAGATAATTCCTTATCTGCCATTATAGAAAAGAAATAAAGGCATCAATTTCTGTGATAAAAAGTCAGCAATCGATCCTTGTTTATCTCATTGAGTAAACTTTTGTCAAATCATAGGCAGTCACTGATGTCATCCAACAAGGTATTTAAGATATGGTCATCGATTAAAAGCATATTATATTTTCTTTGGAAGAATCGAAGATGCTGGAAATACAGTTCTTCAATTAAAGTGCTCAACCTGCTTACCTGCTGGTAGGCATTTAACTGGCCAGAAGGATTAATGTAATGTAAAGAATCTGGACTTCTTGGATTTCCTTTCGAAGCTGGACAAATAAAAACCCATATGAATTAATCTAGAACCTCTAAATACAATGTAATTGCAGGACAAAAATGTAAGATTGGGAGAGCCAGCTACCAGTAAAATCAACAGCAACCATGAAATTAAGCTGAAAACCACTGGAAATGTAATCAAGGAAGCTGTAAAGTTGTTTCTCAATTAAGCCATCCACAAAAAGTTGACCTTTGAGAACCTATAAGTATTAAGGATAGAAGGTCAGATGTGCCAGAATTAGCTAAAGCCTCTGGAAGTACTCATGGCTTAACTAGGAGAATTAGAAACCTTTTCATCATGAAAAAATCCAGAAGGTCTGGAAATGAAATTTGCACCAGTTTCATTTTGGTGAAGACTTATCAGTTCTGCCACAGATTTATGTAGTTTTCTGTTTGAAGAAACTACTACTCACTACTCAGAACGGGAAGGGAAAAAAATGAAATCCTAAATATTGTAGAAAAGAAACTACTAACTAAACATCTAACTTCCCAGAATAGGGATCAGAAATGAAATCTTAACTAGAAACACCTAAAAACGTACAAATTGATTCCACATACCCGATAAATACATGATTACCATCACTATTAAAATCAAAGCACTCGATAACCATCATCCAGGCGTCCACCACCTTCCACCGGCCTCGTTGATCGGCGTCACGGACTCACCTCACAGACTGCAGGTCCCGGACAAGTCAACAGCAGCAACCTGGTAGAAGAATTGGAGAATGAAGAAGGGTTTTTTGGCCCGTTTGAGTCGGTGTTTCAATTGCTACCGGTTTTATTTATCCATTTCCAAATCAAATGGTTGGGCCAAAATTTTTTTAAATGCCCAACTCTCAGCCCAAACAAAAGGGCCCCAAAAAAACCCAAAATTTTCATTCATCTTCTTCTTCCTGCCTTCCTCCCCCTTCTCCCAGCTCTGCAACTTCCACCAGGCGGCAGAGGCAGTCATCTTCTTCACTTCCCGGCAGAGGTCCGCCACTCGGTGGAGGTTGTCTTTGCCTTTCTCTTTCTCTGACCGGAGGAGGTGAA